TTGATAAAAATGGGGATAAAGCTCAGACTCCCTGCCATGCAGTCCATTTAGACTCATAGTGACCCTGTAGGGCAGAGCAGAACTGCTCCCTAGGTTCACCAGGGCTGTCAATCTTTACAGGAGCAGACAGCCTCATCTTTTCTCGCAGCTAGTGGGGCTGAACTGCTGAATTTGCCGTTCCTAGCCTAGCCTGTAGCTCCTTGTGGTTACAAGAGAGGCCACTAAATCAGCCAGGACACGCCTCTTGCACTCTGTGTCATCCAACCCAGAAGCCCAGGTGCCACGTGGCAGCGAAAGCTAAGGGGTGCAGGCAGATGCCTTAGAAGAGCAAGTCTTTGCCCTCTACTTATTAATTTTTAAGGAGAAGGCTCCTTAAAGTAATAGAAACTGCTTGTGCAGGGAGAGGTGTGTTCTCATTGGGAGTTAGGAGGGTGGGGGAAGCTTTGCCATTTATGCGACTTTGGGCCAGTTGTTGTTGACAGCTAAGGCTTTTCTCCGCCTTCACGTTTTCTGACATCTGGATTCTGTGGCGTTGGCAAAGGACCGCAAGAGGGGAGCCATAGTAAAGCAAATCCTTTTATAGCAAGTATGTACTTCCCTATCAAAGAGCGGGCACACAAGGGATGGGGATCCCCTAAACAGCTTGAGGGTGCCACGGATACAAGGGGGCGTCTCTCGAGCACCCCCAAGTGCGAATGAACAGCCACTGGAAGGCGTTTGCTCTTGTCCCATTTCAGGAGGGGCTGATGCAATTCCCAGCGGCTGGGCGCGCGCCCGGTTCTGGCGCTGCAGACTAATCACGTTCCAACGTGGCGATCTGGCCAGCGCCGTGGAATCCTAGAAAGCCTGTGACCCGCGGCTCGGCCACGCGGAGCTTCCAACCCCGCGCGGAGAGCCGCCATCTGCAAGGGCCCTGGGGGGCCGGGCGGGAGAACTCACGCCCCTTAGCCACCCTCACCCCGACCTCCACCCTGAGGACACGCTGCTGATCAGAGACCCTCTGCCTGGAGAGGGTCTCATCCTTCCGCGGCTCCATCTCAGACCAGGGATGATGGCACGACGGCGATGCAAGGGAAAGGACGCAGCGGACCCCGGGCCCTCGACAAGTGGCGCCCCGCGCCCGCCACCCCCAGGTCAATCCCAGCTAGATCTCTGGCTTCAAGCTCCGCACCCGCAGCCCTTTCCCTCGGGGGAAGACAGCGGTCTTGAGGGCGAGCCCCTCGTGCCGGGCCTTCGCTGCACGGTCTTCTCCCTTTGCAAAACGCTCCCCAGGCTTCGAAACCATCTCGGCACCGCTGCCCATCCCCGGCCCTCGCGCCCGGGCGCCCGCCCGGCCGGACTCACCCGGCCGGTGGAGAAGCGCCGCAGCGCCTGGTGGCCCCGTCGCAGCATGCCGACAAGGAGAGCACC